TTTTGGAAGGTTTCAGTCCAAACCGCCACTCTGTGATCCGATGCAACGTGAGTTTCCGTAGGACATCTCGCCCCGTGTCCACGCCGCCAGGCTCAGGCGACATCGGCGTCCCCGCTGTCCGCCAGGTTCGGCCCGGGGCGATGGATCAACCCTTCGAAAGCGGGTCGGCCTTGTAAGCTTTGGTCGGCTCCCGAAGGTCCCAGAAGGTCCGGAATTGGGGAGTGGAGTTGTTTGGAGCTGAGAGCCTTCTCCAATGTATTTGGAGTTGACGGTTGACAGGTCCCAATTTGTCTATCAGTGAGGTCCAGGCTTGAGGAAAGTGGGTTTTTTGGCCCGGATTCTGTATGAAGTCTCTGCAAAGGGAGCCAGTAGTCACGGGAATGACCAAAATTGGTTTCGCAGGGCTCATGGTGAAAGCGCCAGGACGTCCAGGTCGATGAGATCGGGGTCCCGAAGCCCGCGCAAAAGAGGCCGAGAAGATTTCAAAGTGACATCATTCAACATCACTCGATCCTAATGTTGACCCCATATTAATCAACCCTGTAATCCCCACTAGGGACACCCCCATATTAATAAACAGGGGTTTATCAATCTGGGGTCAACATCATCATGCCACACCGGTGTCCCTTCATTCTGGTGTTCCTCCAGATTCCAGATTAGGAGTAGGGATCCCATGTTGAACCCGGATTGTTGGTTTCATCGTTGGCTGACTGGCTTTGTTTGGCTTTGGCTTTGTGGCTCCTGGGTTCAGGTCGGAGGGATCTCCACTCGACCAACTCGACCGCTTCCTGGGTTTGCATTGGTCGCCGCACAGAAACCAAGCGGAGGTTCAATCAACCCCACTCCCAGAGAACCCATCGATCTGCCTAATTTATAGCGAGCTCACCTTGGCAAATAACGAGCTCACCTTGACAAAGGTATGCCTTAATTCAGCTTTTGGAATTAAAGTAAATTTGCCGATCGATAACCCGCTCCCATAGAGCCCATCGGTTGGGTTTGAAGATCAGTTTCCTCCAAGGTGGGGTTCATAGGTGTCCCTTTTGGTTGATTTGGTTAAAAAATAGGTTGGGCGATTCCTGGTTTACCTGGTGGTTCAATTAACTACCAGGGCCATCTATTTTCCAAAAAGGACACCTATGGTGGGGTTTTGGTTGCCCTGTCACACGGACCCGAGAGGCTATGGAAGCCTGGGCGCCGCTTGGCTTCGGACAATTTCCTCACTGGTGGGGGGTCTTCTTTTGGGATTTGGACCATGGCGCAGCGATTTTCCTTTTTGGTGCTCCATGAAAAGCACCAAGCAGAGGGTACCTCCGAAACAGACACCCAGGTCCCTCCATGGAAGCCACCTGAAAAAATGCAACTTGGCCTTGGGGACTCCTGTGGCCCCTCTTCTTGGATTCGTCCTCAGCCACACGGGAGCCTTTGGCGAGATGGCAATGCTCGGGGATGGATGTGTGATATTTTCGTGCTGCGGAGTTGACTGGAGGATCGGTCGGTGGAATCATTCTGGGTGAATTACACCGACCTCACACGACCTCACGCCAAATGGTGGTTTATAATAGCCCCCCAAACCACCTTATTTGAGGCTGGTGAAATATTATACTTCACCCAGATCATTTTGGTTTGTCCACCAACCACTTTGAATGTGGTTCCCGATTCAGATTCACTCGGCGAAACCAAGCGGCCAACTTCCATCAAGCAAGGCCCAATGCCAAACTGCCAGGGCCCCTGTCTTATCCCAAGCGGGGATTCCCTGTTGTCGGTTGGCGTTTCAGATACGCTCGCCACCAACATGAAACCTGCCTGGGGTGGGGGTTCCAGGAAAACCAATTTGCTAAAAGGACCTGGCGGGGTTCAGTCAGTGTAAGGGCAAGCCATGACCTACCCTCCGGTGAAGCTTTGAGCAGCACAACTTTTCCCACCACAAAGGCCGAGTTGTCACGACATCCATGTGATCAAATCAGTCCTAAAACCGCCAAAGGTCGTTTGCCTACACTGGCACCCAGTTGCAAAGTTGCAAACTAGGCTGATTGCCAATTAGTGGTGCAAACCGTTTTTTTGGGCCTCCCCCTTCAAGTGACCCTGACTCCCGAGATCTTGGACTCGCTCTTTGCCACTGTGGAAGGCCTGGATTGGCAGTGGGTTGGATGAGGGGGCTCCAAGGGGGCAGAGTTTCAGCTACAAATGAGGTGTTTTTTTCTGGGTTCCATACAGGTTCCATGTTAATTCCATGTTAATTCGGAGGGAACTGCAAGTGTTCGATCTTGCCAAAAGGGGCCGGGCAACTTATGAGGGCTAGCGCTAGGTTCAGGCGGGATTCTCCCAGAGGCACGCCCAATTCACCTGTTGGCGCCTCTTCAGGGGCTGTTGCTGCCCAGCCAGGGCTATCGTACCAAAGACTGCATCCACCGGGCTGGCCTGCCTTCTGAAGGACAAGGCTTACTTGAAGGAGTCCTTTTCAACTTCGTGCCTTGGGTTTCTTTTCAACTTGCCTTGGGATTCCTTCATTTGTCCTTTCAACTTGCAGTTGGTCCAGCTTTTGCCTGGGTTTCCTTCATTAGTCCTTTCAATGGTTGGTCTGAGTCCGGACTCTACCTGTGCGAAAGAACCAAGTTGCCTTGCGACAGGCAACATGCAGCACATCAAGAACGGCCCCGCCCTGATCCCGCGCTCGAAGTCGCGGCCAACACCTCAGCGGTGAAAGTCTCACTCGTTGGTCTGGGAGGATTTTGTTGGTTTCCTTGCTGGCTCTGAGGGAATGAGGGATTGACCCCGAGAAAAGCCATTCCCTATGCTTTCCTTTAAGGGAACCCCTAGGTTCATTCCCACCACCCTGCGTCATCCCTACTGAGCACCAGCAAGCTTCCGGAGGGCCCAAAACGAAGGTGGTTGAGCTGTTCAGCATCAACTCTCCCGTCTTTGGTGGAATTGCTTTCCGTTTTTGCCAACCCATCTGACACGATCGTTTCGTGGCAGGGCAATTGCAATTGCCACACAAACTGTTCGCAGGGGGTATATGACTAATGGGACCGGCAGGTTTTCTCTGTTCTTAGCCAAGCCCCACCCCCCCAAGCATTTTCCCTTGTTGATTTTCTTTGGAAACCTATCACCAATGGAAACATGCGTACGTCTTCCATGGGGCTTAGCAACTGAAGGGTGGTCGCCGTAAAAGGCGGCACCTTGGGCGGGCCATACGATTGACGCCCCAAATCAAAGGCAGCGCGGTAGCGGTGGCCAAGGTGCGAGGCCATCCACTCGGTGGCCTCCGCGGGTGTTCAAGGTGGCACCTGCCCCAGCGAAGCTGCGAACGAAAATGCCTCTAGAAATAGCTGACCCCACATTGGACAGCCCCAGTCTTCTTGGTTTTGACTAGGTCCCCTCCAAAAGTGATGACTAGATCACTAAACCCATGCACATCCCTCTGTGAACATACCGGGGTTGATGAATATGCATCAAAGGATGTGGCAAAGGGTTCCTCATTGAAACGAGTCTCACCTGCCGACACATTCCGTGCGGGGAGAGGGCACCCACAGAGCGGGCAGCGGCCAATAGTTTAGACTGGTTTGAGCCATGTCCCCTTTCAGGTTCAGTTTGGGATGCGGCTGGTTTGAGCCATGGCTGAATTCCATTTAGCAAAAGGGCCATCTATCTTACCAAAAGGGCGCCTATGTTTGATGCGATCAGCACATGCACTTTCTACCCTGACCTTTTGGCTTTCAGTGTCGGGAGGAGGAGGAGCACGCAGGCGGATGTTGGCAAACAAGTAGTCCTGGCCACCCCTTTGAGGTCCCCTTTTTGAGCCAAATTTGAGAGTGTCTATGTTCAGCCTGCCTTTTTGGGTATCGCTTTAAATGACAGCAGAAGGAACCACCCACTTCGGCAGTTACCAGTCTTGAGACACATGCCAGTTTCTTCTCTCAGGCGATCAGTAGCATTTCACCTGGGCTGCTGGTGAAGCCACAGTCCTTTGAGGCCGATGCTTGGCTGCATCACGTTGCTTCCCCCCAAAAAAGAAAGAAAGGCGCAGATGTTTCCAACTATGGGGTATGAATCTTTGCCCCAGCTCCAGAGACACTGGCTCTCGCGGGGGATTCCTGGGCTAGTTGGACACGGTCTGCCAAGCAATGGCCCCCCGCTTTTTTTTTGGGGGGGTGTGGCCCAGAACATAGAGTTTGAACAATTGCCACTTGCACATGCATGACAGGACATGGATTTCACTTCTGATAAATGGAATTCCGGCGTTGGGGGTCACCCCTGGAATTCAATTTGTGTGACTTATGTGTGTGGGTGCGTGTGGGTGTGCGTGTGCCTGTGCCTGTGCCTGTGCCTGTGCCTGTGCCTGTGCCTGTGCGCGTGCGCGTGCGCGCGCGCTTGCGTGCGTGCGTGCGTGCGTGCGTGCGTGCGTGCGTGCGGTCGTGCGTGCGTGCGTGCATGCGTGCGTGCGTGCGTGGGTGGGTGGGTGGGTGGGTGGGTGGGTGGGTGGTTGTGTGTGTGTGTGTGTGTGTGTCTGTTTCATTTGCCCCATCTTGCCCCCATACTCTCTCCTGAGTGGTGCTAGTTAAAGGGCGGTTGTACCTGAGGTCTCGGCTTTTTGCGGCGCGGTGGCGCAGGCCACGTGTTCGGTTCCAGCCGCGGCTGGCGCTGTCGGAATTCTTGGCATCCACCGGGCTCGGGAGACGCCAAATCGGGGGCGGTGCACAAGAACGGGCTGGCCGATTTGACGCATCCCGCTTGCCGTTGGTTGCCATAGCGCTTTCAGGATGCGCTTTCAGTGTATTTCCATTAGCGCTGTCGCGAGGCATCGAAAAGGAGCGTTCTGGCTTGCGGCGGGACGTAAGAAGAGCGGCCATGATCATCAAGAAAGGGGGGTGTAACGTTCGCAAGCCACAGCTCAATCATCTCAATCCTGAGATGGATTCAGATGGTAGGGTTCTTTTTTGTGTTGCCCGACTACGGGTGATAGATCCAGGATGCCCCCATGTTGAATCACCTGACCTAAGATCCTGGACAACAAAGAGATGATGAAGATGAACGGCAAGCAGATCGACTGCAAGCCCGCCAGGGACAGGCGCGTGAGAGATGCCATGGATCACATTGGGTTAGGTCCAATCCTGAGGGGCTGCTTTCACTTTGGTTTTTCTAACTATCCCTGCCCACAAGAAGCCCGGCTTGAAACGACAGGCTGGGTCCAAGCTTGGATTCCAAACAGGGGGCCCAAAGCCCCAGTCCCCAGAGGCTTCCTTTTACTCCAAGGTCTTGAGCCGGGCTTTCCTTTCGAGGAAATCACCCCCCCCCCCCCCCCACCCCCCGAGTCTATGACTTGCAAGATGAGAATATCTTGCGAGGCCAACCTGGGAGAAGGGCGGAGGCGGAGGCAGGATCCCAACGCACGCCGAGAGTACCATTTGCTTCAAAGGCAACGGCTGGTGAATTTCTCACATTTGAAGGGAACGAACGTTAAACCGCCCGTTGGTCTTGTGCTCTAGGTTGATGTCTCGTACAAAGCTTGACAGATGTGCACACACTCTACATGGATTCAGGCGGTCCAGTGCTTTGCACATTTGTTTGGCGTGCTTGCCCCCGACCCGCCCGAGCATAACCGGGCAACCCTTTGGTTGGATCGGTATGGGGATTCGAAGCCCTGGGAGAACCACGCCAACGTCTCCAAGTTTTGGGTTTCCCAGCAAAACCTGGGTAATTGCAGGGTAGTAAGGGACAATCCCAGCCATAAATAGCTGCGGATATCCGCCTTCTTGGTTCTTTACATGGTTCTGGGTCGACCATTTTTGCACCAGGTTTTGATTCTGACTCAGGTTACGGCATGGACTGGATGCCGGGCAGCCCAGGGCCAAAAGGCCACTTTGGCCACGCGAGGCGTCAACGCCGGAGGATTAGGATCAATGTTTGAATATGTGGTCTATCGTTCAATGGCTAGGTCCCCCAGTAGTGCCCTTTTGCCAACCTTTTTGGGGGGAGGGTTCTAATAAAATAGACAGAACAGAAGAAAAAGTTGGTACCAACTTATGCTAACCTCTCTACTGGAGGACCTAGATGGCGTTAGGGCCCGGAGTTCAAGCCCAGAGCAACCCTGCGGGGAGCGGCAGCTTGGGGCGTCAGGGCATAATATGAGCAGTTCAGGTGTTCGGTCCCACCCTCTTCCCCTGTTGGGTCCAAGGGAACAGGATGGATAGAGAGGTTCCGGGAACCAAGCGTTGGTGCGCGCGAAGAGGAGATTCCTTGGTTGAAACCCTGAGGGGCGGCGGCAAAGGCTGGGGCAAGGACTACGGCAAGGCAGGGAATGCGAAGCATGCCTGGCATTCTAGGTGTTTTTTTTTGCAGTAGTGCCCTTTTACCGTTTCTTTTGGTTGCGAGGGTTCCCCTACTAAAATAGACTACAGAAAAAAGGGTGCCGTTATTCAAACCTCTCTACTGGAGGACCTAGCATGGTCTGCCAGTGGTTTCATTCAAGTTAAAGCCCAGCTCACGCCTTCTCCTGTCCACCCTTGACAATTACTCCCTGGCTACTCGTCTGGTGCCTTTCCAGTGGGTCAGCAACTCTGAAACCATGCGCAGAGAATCCCCCGTTTCTTGGTCTTGCAGATGGGGATGATGATGGCCGCGATGATGGGGATGATGAAGGGCGGCAAAGGCGCGGCGCCGCGGCACGGTTCGGTCGTCACATCTCATGTGCAACCCTAGAGCTGGGTAGGTGTGTTTTGCTGTTTGATGCTCACGAACGACGGACGCACGTCAACCGCGCGGTTGCAATGGTGATTTTTCAGTGGCCTTTTTAGGCCCCTTTTATGTTGCTGGAGGGGTAGCACTTCAACTGGTCAACTCTTTAGGGGGGAACTGATTCCCGGCAACCTGGGCTTCACTTGGCCGAAAACTGCCACATGAGTTGCTGAGAAGATTCGCGGGGTATCATTCTGGCCCGGACCCCGATCGGCTTTGCCGGTTTATGGGTTTTTGGTGATCGGATGATGTAGGAGGAGGAGGCGGCTGCGGTGGCAAAGGCAAGGACGTGCTCTCCTGAGATCTGAGACTTGGTGCTGCCTATCCCCAAAACCGTGTCCAGGGTCCCAAGACAGGAGAGGAAATTGCCTTGCATTGCAAGTCGAAATCGAATGTGGAGGGGGGATCGTGCCTTTTTTAATTCATCCGGTGGAAGGGTTCCATAGGCAAATGGTGCCAAATGGGGGTGGGCACTTCAGATTTGACACAAGATGAACCCATTGGATGTCTTGGCCTGCCCAGGTCAAAGGGCAGCAGTATGGCAAAGGTGGGAGGGAAGGGGGGGGGGTGAGTGGAGGTCCATCAGTCTGCCACCCACTGGCCCAGACTCTGACTGGTGTAGCCCAGACATATTGCCCCAAAGCACCCCCCAACTGCACCCGGCGAGACAAAGTTGAACCAACGGGAAGCCCGGGTGCGAGTTCTTCAAAATCAAGGTGCCCCCCTTTGCGGTTCCTTTGGCTTGTGAGCCCCTTTCAGAACCCGCGGGGTAAGCTCTATAGGTTGTAGCTGTTGAAGGCGCAACCAGCAGTTTTCGGAGGCAGATGAGCAAAATGCAGGGCACCGTGGCCTCCCCAAAACCATCCGACAGCCAAGCCGACATGCCCAACTCATGATTTCCCAGAGGAGTGGCTTCCCTTCCAGGAATGGGCCCGCCAACTGCAGACTCGGAGCCGCTGACTCGGTCTTCCAAGGGAAAGCTCTCGGCGCGGTTTGGTCCGAGTGGATTTCAGAGAGCCATGGGTGTGATTGTGTGATATGGTTGCGAGTTCTGATAACATGGTTGGTGGACAAAAATCTTCACGTGGTGTCAGGGTTCCTAATTAAAACTCGCACTGGTGGACGTCTGCCCCCGAGTTCTGGACGTCATACTTTTGGAGAACCACAGCGGACTTGCTTTGCCCGATTCAATCAGGCAGCAAGACATTTGGTGTCATAAGCAGTGTTTTGTGTCGGTGCGTGAATAAGTAAGAAGCAAGTGCTTTCAGGCAAAGATGCAGTTTTCAGTTTTGAAAGACTTGTCTTCCCTGGAAACTGGAAGTGGGCCGTTCGGAGGGTGGTCGAAATGGACGTGCTTGGTCGCTTTGGCCAATAGGTGCCACTGATTTCAGTTTGGTTCCAATCATCTACCAGGATCGCTGGCGCTCAGAAGGGGATGTGGGAATGCATTTAGGGGTCACCTCAAAGAAAATTCCACTTGACAAGGGATGGTTTCTCAGGGGCATAGGTGTCCTTTTTGGTTGATTTAGTTTAAGAATAGGTTACACAATTCCTGGTTGACCTGGTGGTTCATCCACTACCAGGGCCATCTATTTTCCCCAAAAAGGACACCTATGATCAGGGGTCATTCCAATTCTCATTCCCTGCCTATCGCACCGGATTCGGCCACGACGGGTCTGGAGGGTTCGAGATGGAAACCAGCCTGAGGGTGGTCTTCGTGGGTGGCCTGCCGAAGGACGCCACTGAGGACCAACCTGATGGGGTTTTTGGAACTAGGAACTCGCCATGCTCAGAGTTGGGCGTGTCAAAGTGTCGGAGTGTACCCGTTGTGGTAGTAGGGGCAAAAGTTTTGGGCATCTACCAGGCCCCCCCGATGGCCGGTAATTGGCGTCCCGGGTGAAGTGCCGGCAATTGACCAGCACTTGTTTAAAATGGTTTTGTAGTCACATGGATTTGTTGCCATCATCGTGCAGTGAAAAGTCACTTTTGTTGAAACGTCACTTCCGGATACTAGAGGGGATCCAATTGAGGGGTTGGGCTGGCATGTATGATCATTGCACATGCAACGCCCGGGGGGGGGGGAGGGGGGGCGACACGCTGGTGACACGCTCATATCCCAAAACAGTGACCGTTCAACGTACATGTGCCGGCAATTGGCCACCCCCCGACACGCAGTGACACGCCGTGACACGCTCCTCAAGAACCCCTCCCAACCTCAAACTTGCCCTCCAAACCTCAAATTTGCTGCTCTCCCCTTTCCCCTGCAACCCCATTCCAAAGGACCCTGAAAGGTCACTTGTATCATTGCACAAATTGCACTAAGTACAGATGAGTGATAATTGATAGCAAATTGCTTTTGCAGTCACTTAGACATACAAGTGACATCGTTTTGCCCAAAATCGATGTGCCGGCAATTAGCCAGCCATTGGGGGGTGCTGGTATCTCCGTTTTTTTTCTTTTTTTTGGGGGGGGGGTAGGGTTCTTGTTTTTTGAATGGCCGGGGTGCGGGGGGGGGGGGGACTTTTTTACAGAAGCCGAAGCCCAATTATAAATACCCCTGGCACTCCGGCATCCAAACCGCAAATGATCTCCATTTCTTTCTTGAGCGGGGGGGGTCACCTTTTCAAAGGGGAAGAAAAGACCCAAGACCTGGGTTGCCCCATTCGAAACAAAGCCCCTTTTGCGAGGGAAAGAAAGGAACCGGCCCATGGTTGCCCATGACACCATGCGCCCTTTAAGAAATCCGCTGTGCATTTGGGTGGGCCTGCAGGCATTTGCCCTTGGGTGTCGCTAGGAAGCCATCGCCCAGCACTTCTCGCAGTTCGGTATTGCCCGAGACTGAGAACTGAGGTTTAAGGAACATAGGTGTCCTTTTTTGGTTGATTTGGTTTCGACAATAGAGGGCCCTGGTTTACCTGTTGGTTCAATCAACCAACTACCAGAGCCATCTATTTTCCCAAAAAGGACGCCTATGCTAAGGAATGTGTTGGTTTGCCTTTGGTTAATTCTTGCCTACAACATGCGCACAAAACACATCTAGAAGCTGGGGCATCCTCTGTGAGAATGCCAGGCCCTTAGTTGGTAATCACAAGGTGCTAGGTGGGCGTTGCTTGGGTTCAGAGTCCCAGGGTTGAATTGTTACTTGTTTCCATGTTTTTCCTTTGGTCCTCAACCAGTTTCTTTCTTGCTCAAGGCTCATGGCACCCGAACCGAGTCCATTCCCAGTTGTGAGCCAGGGCTTTGTGACCCCTTTTGGGGGCCTGAGCCACCGGAGTTGAGGTGCAGAAGGTGGACATGAAGTATGACATGAACACCGGCGTGCGCCGAGCTGAGGTGAAACACCTGGGGCTGAACGGGGGGATGGAGTGCAGCTTTGAACCTGCAATCCATTGATTCAAGCCATCAAGGCCCATGTGTGTGCGTGGTGAAAGGATCCCTTTACCTTTTCTTCGCAATCAGCCATGGTAAAAACAAACCACCCTCTATGAACTTTTCGACGACCACTGTTATGGTTCCTATATTAATCAGCGGCCAAAAACTTCAGCCACCCGAAGGTGGCCATGACTACGACTTTGATGCAGCTGTCATGGGCCCATCCCTGGGTTCCAACAGAGTACTTTACTAAACGAGTACCTTCACAAAATGACAAGCGCATCGTTAAAACTGCATTTCAAGATGGATTTTCCATTAATATCTTAAGTCATTTCCCTTGCGACGAATTCAACGCTTTACCCAAAAAGAACAAGTCAGCAACCAGTAGGATGTGCCCGGCCGAAAAGAACACACCCAGCACTCCCATTGCCAAAAAAACACAAACAAAAACAAACAAACAAACAGAACCGAGCGGCAGGAGGTGTCCGGCTGGTGCCATTTATGGCCCTCCGTGCCCCGAGGTTCCGAGGCTTCGCCTTTGTGACCTTGGGAGCCGTTGAGCAGGCGCAGGCCGCGGCCTCGAAGCCACAACCTTCGAGGGGCGGGGAGAGCTGGGGGGGGCGGCGGCTGGGGGGGGCTGGGGGGGGCTGGGGCTGGGGGGGGGGCTGGGGGCTGAAAGGGGTGGGCGGGTGTTGGGGGGGGGGGGGCTGCTTCGGTGGTGCAGCAGATGTTCTTCAGCTTCTCAACTTGGCTCAAAATAGGAGCCCCAAAATGGTTGATGTCCTTTGAGTTTCAAGTACGCCTTAGTTGGCGGCTTGGATTGGTATATTGTTTGCAAGTTTCTGGTGTTCGTTGCCCCTTGGGGTTATGTTTTGGTTTGTTCACCATTGTTTGCCTGCTGCTTCACAGATGTCTTTCGCCTCACAAGAAAGAAGGAAAAGGAAACAAGGCGGGGGTCACCGGAGCGAAGCCCTTGAACACGTTGCCATTTGCTGGGTTCCAGTGAGATTGAGGTTCAAAATCTAGGAAAATGGATAGAGGCCTTGGGAATCAACCTGGGGTCCACGAAGCAACTGTTTCAACAGCCAGAATTTGACCTCAATGGGTCTGCGTCGTAGGAGGCACCCTCCAAGACGAGTGTTTTCCATTTTCCCCTGGAAGCAACCGCAAGAAGGCGTACGCTTAAACACAAAGCCACACCCTTCCTTCTGGGCCGACCATCTTTAGCTGCTTTGCAGTGTCATTTCAATTTTTGGGCCTTCCGTGTGGGGATGAGACGCACTTAGTTCAGGAAAAGCAAGTTGTGTTCATCCTGAATTCATCCTTGCCACGCATGGGTCCATTCGGCCAAGCTGTTCACTTCATGTTTGGCAAGAACCATCGTCCCCCAAAGGTGGGCTTATTGCCGACAAATGGCCAACGCAGGTTGTGTGCTTGCATGCCAAGCGCAACTACTGCATGTGGTTCTTGGTGGCGTGTGGTTTTTCGGCCTTCCGGATATTCCGGAGCCGGAAACTCGAGGCTGTCATGAGCAACTACGACAACAACATGTTCAACGGTGGCCTGGCCGTCGATTGGAATCGAATAGAGGTCAGGTCTCTCTCACTTCAGCGGATGGTTCCAAGGATTGGCACAGGGTCCAAAAGCCACTGGTCGGTTTGTAAGTGACATGCCTCCAAGAAGCTAGGGTTGACACTCGCGCCCAAAAGCCCCCGGTCAGTGACATGCCCCCAAGAAGCTTATAGCCCACAGAAAAAAAAATAATGCCCTCGCTGGCCAAAGCTTCCAGCTGCGCCCGTGCAGTGCCCTGATTGAAGCCAGGCCTTCGTAGAGGAATTTGGTGCTCCACGGCCCTCAGGGATCCAAGGAAAGGGATGAAACCCGAATTGAAGACGCCCACTTCAATGGGACGAGTGGACAAAGCGCCGGAACTTCAATGCTGCCCTGAATGCACCTGGCGCAAAACTTGGCACCACGTCCAAGTCGCGAAAAGCGACTTCAAGCAAAAGGGCAGCCACTTGGAGCCGCCTTTTTGGTGGTGTGGCTGGCTGGGAGCATGGCAAACGGCAACCATATGATTTAGAGGAGAGCCATGATCCTGGCACGTGACGAACCCAATAGAACGAAGACCTGTAAAAAGAAGAGACGGTTATGAAGTTATAGAAGAAACAATGCACAATGAGTCAAGGAATGAAAAAAAAAGCAACTCAAGCTGAAATTCAGAAAGTTGGTCCTCCTACGCAGCCAAAATGCGCAGCTTCTGCACTCCCATGGCTGGCGAGTCAAGCCGAGGCCGATGGATCGATTGCAAGCCAGCGGCCCTGGGGAAGATGCAGCCAGCGGCCCAGAGTTGGAGCAAAGTCCCCTGAGTCCAACTGGTTGCATCTGAAGGGCGTCTCCGGGAGGCTTTACCCGCAACAGAACACACCATATGGCTGTGGGTCAAAAATAGGTACCCGGAACCATGGTCTAAAACCTGCGGTCCCCTGGTGGTTGTATTTTGACCCATACCCATATATCAGATGAACCGGTATTTCGCACAGGTTTTTGTTTGTGTACCCCTCTTCTTGGACGAAGCTGAGAGGTTTGCCAGAATCACTTTGGGGGATGGGACCTTAAACTTCAAACCCTCATTCAGAGGGAAGGTTTGAGGATGTCACTTACATGGACCCAGTTTCCCATCCCTCAGAGACCACTTGGGGTTCCCCCCCTCCCCAATTTGGAGAGACCCAATTTTGCATGCTTGTTACCAGACGGAGGGCAAGGGACAACCCTGCACGGGGTGGCTGGAATCTGGTTGTGGCGTTTGTTGGTTTTAGGAGTGCTTCGAAGGAGAACCAAAGGTGAGCCACCCATTGTGAAACATAACGAGACCACATACCTGCCTACAGCTTCTCGCAGCCCGGGAACACTTTGAGAAGATGTCGGCAGGTACCTTGAACAGGACCAATAGGTGCAATATTTTCAAGTTTGGGCATGTTGGAAGTTTCAAGACCCCTGTCCCCACCCCCGTAAAGATGGAATTGGGGTAGGGTGTCATTCCCCGGCTTTGGAGAAGACTGCATAAATGGAATTGGGGACACGCCACCTCCCTCCCTCTTATGGTAGGGGGGGATATCTTTACCCATGTTTGGACCCTCCCTTGACAAGCTTTCCACCAACGTCTTTTGAGTTTGGACTGGGCCAAGCTCGTGTTGAATGCCAAGAAAGCTGGCCTCAAAGAGGCTGTTTTCGAGGTTGTGGTTTCATGTTTGTTTGATTATCTTTTTGGGGGGGAGGGGGGTCTGAAGGTGCTCAATGTCTTCTTCGGGATCAGAACTTGAGAAACTGGGGAGCCCCGGCCACGCCACTCGCCAAGGCAGATGGGGCGCGGGCCTTTGTTTATGCTTTTGCTGGTTTGATGTGCCGCTTGCTGTGCTTGAACCGCCTTCAAGTGTTGAAGGGATGAGGCATGGAAATGGACAACTGGTGACCGAAAAGGGCCCAAGTTTCCACCACCGGTGCGAGATTTGCTGGTCGGCAGGGGGGGGGGGCTCTTCCGGATTTTTTCGGGACGGTTGAAGCCGCCATCCCAACGAAAAAGCGGAAAAACACAACCCCCGAGGGAAGGCGCCGTGTCGGTGCCGCCGCAGAACATCCCCATCGAGAAGGCGAGTCGGATCGCATCGATGCGGCTTCAACCTGGTGAAACCCAGCGGTTTCACCAGGCGCCTGGGGAACTTTTGAGCCTTTGCTGCTGTTTCCCATGTGCACCCCCTCTTCTGTCCAAGAAGCAGTCGGGTGCTGCGAGCACTTCCTAATTTCAAGCCTTCAGTTTGGCGATCTGGAAGGAGCCTATGGGGGAATGGCAACCAAGCGTTTTTGGTGGCCACGTTCAAATCCAAGTACTCCACGTGTTTTGGTTTTTGTCCTGTGCTCCAAGCGTTTTGGCCCACCGCGGGTGGACTTGGAGACCATGATGGGATGGAATTGGGCATAGTTTTTGGCGCAGGTCCCCAGGATGTTCGCAAAATCTGAACGCGCTCAGTTCGGGAGCCTTGCCCATTTCCAATTCTGAGCATTTGCTTTTCTAGGACAGTTTGTCCGCGAAGCTTTGGCTTGGATTGGTTTGATTCGAACCCTGAACCCTTAGTTCTTGAGGCTCCAGTTTGGTTCCCCACCCCACCTTCAAACCAATCACCCAATGAAGGGCTGAAAATTCCGGAAGCGTCTCTGCAAGTGTCACTCTCGCTGGAGGCCCAAACTGGGTTCCTACATTTCCTTGTGCCGCGCGCTTGAGCACCTTTCGGGCCACCATCTTTGAGTTTCCTCTTGGGGTGGCATTTTAGGGGGAATCTGCTTTTTTTAAGGAGCCCTGAAGTATCGAAACAAGTACAAGTGTCGTTTATTCGTGCGACTGAGTTTTTTTTTTTAACTCCCGGTCTTTTTGACTCCAGCCCTGTCCCAAAAGCACCTCCGGCCAGGTGGGCCCGGCTCCAACCAACGCCGTGCCGGGCCCTCAGAATGCCCACGTCGGATCCAGGGGGAAATCGACAGGCTAGTGGCTTTAACTTCGCTCTGGCTCAAAAACACGCACCAAAATGGCACCTCGGTCAATGGCAGACTAAAGCCTGCGTCACCCTGCCTCTTTAATGTAGCCACACCCGTTTCCTTTTGCCTGCCGATTGAAAACAGATCGGCCGGGTTCCGGCCAGCGTTTGACCACCTCTCGCGTTTTGGCCCATGGCTATGCGTTTGCACGGGAACCCCTGAAAAGGCGGATGACGTGCATACGCACCGAAACGTGACTTCCATTTGCTTAAGACTAGATGTTATTTTTCCTTGTTGGTTTACAGGGAATTTATTACTGGACTTTGATTTTCCACGGGCTTCAGCAAATGGAAGATTAAAAAATCATCCTGGGCTCAGGGGTAGGTTCATGGCTTCGAAGCCAAGGCTGCGGCTCCGGGGTATGCCCTTCTCAGCCTCCAAGGAGCAGGCCCGCTCGCCTTGGTTCAACTGAGCGCCCACTGGCCATTTTGGCAGGGTACTCTCCAGCGGTTATCATAGGTGCCCTGTTTGGTTGATTTGGTTCAAAAATAGGTTGGGCGATTCCTGGGTTACCTGGTTCAATCAACTACCAGGGAAACCCATCTATTTTCAACCAAAAACACCTATAGTACTCCCTGGTTCTATGGTGGTGGTAGGCCTACAAATAAGTCTAATCATGTTAGAGCCGAAGTCAATGGGCTTTGCGCACTGAGCTGTTCTTTGGTCCATGGACTTGCTTTGCCCCTTGGTACTCGTCCCTGAACATTTCAATCGGACGGTTAACCCTTTTGCAATGACCCTTACGTCCCCCGAAGCGGCAATGTTTATGTGTTTCTCGGGGTTGAATACTCAGCGACTTTATGCGCAAGCGGATTGTTCCTGGTGTTGTTTCCCCTGTTTAGCCTGTTGTGTGGATTGTCATAAAGGGGGACCCAGGCATCTTTTGGTACAGAACGGGCGCCAACTCCCGATAGATCTCAGCGGTCCTACAAGAAAAAGAAGGATTGTTTAATTGGTTGGGAAGATGCTTCGATAGACTGAGGTAGCCTGATTGCTTTGTCCCCTACACCACCCACATCCCACTTTTCACATCTCTCTTCAGCTTCCACTTGGTGTAGCCGGAGGGAAGAAACAAAACCGAAGTCGCAGGTGGAGCAGTTCTTCGCTGGCTACGGCCTGCCGGGGTTGCCCAGACGGCTTGCCTAAGGCCCTTGGTTTCGAAGCCAGCAGCAGGCGAAGCAGCGCAACCCTTTTTCACGGGTGTCCCCGCCCCCCCGCCCCCCCCCCCCCCAGAAAAAAAAAGATGGAACAGAGCACACTCTCAGGGCATATTCCACAACGGCCGAATCCCCCATCTGGGCCCATCGGCCCCATAGCTTTCAGCTGTTGCGGAAGAAGGCCTGGAAACTCTGCCCAATGTTTTTTTGCGACCTCAGCTTCCTGAAGGTTCCTTTCTTGGCCAGGAGAAAAGGTTGGGATTTGGACCTGCCCAAATGGTGCCTCAAAAAGACCCCCCCCCAGCCACAGCTGTTTGGGACAGTGGCAGAGAATTTGGTTTGGGGACATGCCGCAAGCATCGCAAGCGCCAAAGGGCGGGTCCCTCCAAAAGACATGACCCAAGCAGGTTGTGTATCGAAAGTGGTCAAGGACCATTTAGGGGTCCTTTTCGACATGTAATGTTTGTTTCAAGTTGTTGGCCCCCTTTGGTTTTCAGTTGACGTTGCTTTCCTGCCTTCCACCTTTCAGTTTTCGTTTCTTCAAAGCACTTTGCGGGTTTCCCTTTGAGTTTGGCTCACTGTTCGTTGGAAACTCCCTGAAGCGCCCTAAAGCCCCTCCCTGCGCCTAAGGAAAGCGAATTCCTCCAGCACCCTCCGACTACTGCCCAGGAGGCAGTAGATATAATTTTCCAAAAAAGGACCGTAGCTAGAAAAACTACTGTTAGTTATTTTATTTGCGGGATGCCCCTATTCTAGCTACTTCTATCTACTGCTTACAGCAGGAAGATGCCATAGCAGGGGTGGTAGCAATCAAGGGGTGGCAGCAAGCGCGTCACAGCGTGTCGCGCCATGTCACTTGCGTGTCACCCCGTGTACCCCGTGTCACTCCGTGTCGCCCCCGTGTACACCGTGTCCCCCGCGTGTCGCCCCTGTGTCGCTCCCGTGTCAGTATGCTAGAACAACAGTAGATCGCTGCGAACAACAGTAGTTTTAGCGTGTCATCCCATGTCGCCTGCGTGTCACCCCGTGTCGCCCCCGTGTCGCCCCCGCGTTGCCCCCGTGTCTCCCCGTGTCAGCTGTGTGTCACTCCGCCTGCGTGTCACCGCGTGTCACCTGCGTGTCACCCCGTGGGCCTGGGAAGGGGTAGGGATAGAATATAGGCTTGAAAGAACGTGAAACGACCGTAGATCGGGGATCTACTGTCTTTCACTATTTGCGGAACTACTGCTAAATAGGCGGTGGTTATGAAAGTAAAATGAAAGCAGTAGTCCCAGGGTGCTGGCTGAGAGCCAAATAAAAACATCTCTCCCTTGCGCTAGAACGATCACCCCCCCGACCAAACTGTTCGTTGGGAACCCCCGAAACCTCTCAAAGCGCCAAAGTAACAGACCAACTCCCTTGGAAGAACAAAAAAGCCCCCAAGCCCCTCCTTCTCTTTCGCCCTCCTTTTCACCGGCGCCCCAGCCAACCCGCCGCCCAGCAGCCGGCGCCCCAACCGCCCAGGAGCGGCAGAGTCCACCTGAAGCAGGACTTCAGCGGGCGACCCTCGGGGGAGGCCTTTGCAGAGTTCGTCTCCACCGAGGAGGCGAGACACGAGAACCGGACTGCCGCTTTGCTTTGCTACGTCTTCGGCAAGGTCCCCCAGCAACTGGTGCCAACTTTGACCGCTTCTTTTTGGGGGGGAGGGTTTGCCTACTAAAATGGATTAGAAGAAGATGCAAGTTCCCCTGGCAATCCTAGCAAGTTCTCCGTGCAGTTGCGCATCTGAGCAAGTTGTTGGCGCGAGTTCCTCTGAGCAAGTTCTCCAAACAAGTTCTCTGTCCAAGTTGCTCTCAGCAAGTTGTCGGCGCGATTTCCTCTGAGCAAGTTCTCCAAGCAAGTTCTCTCAGCAAGTTGCTCTGAACAAGTTTCCCCTATTCGCAAAACACTTTCGTACTTAAAAGTTGCGATTTTCCAGCCGGAGCTGCAAGAGTTTACTTCGCGTGCTACTTTGATACTCAAAAGTTGCGATATTCCAGCCGGAGCTGCGAAACTTTACTTCGCGTACTACTTTCGTACTTAGAAGTTGCGATTTTCCAGCCGGAGCTGCGGAAGTTTACGTCGCGTAATGCTTTCGAACTTCAAAGTTACGATTTTCCAGCCGGAGCTGCGCAAGTGTACTTCGCGTACTACTGTCGTACTTAAGAGTTGCGATTTTCCAACCGGAGCTGCGAAAGTTTACTTCGCGTATACTTTGGTACTGAAAAGTTGCGATATTCCAGCCGGAGCCGCGGAAATGTACTTCGAGTACAACTTTCGTGCTTAAAAGTTGCGATTTTCCAGCAGGAGCTGCGAAAGTGTACTTCGCGCTCAAAAGTTGCGCCGGAGCTGCGACAGCTTACTTCGCGTACTACTTTCGTACTTAAAAGTTGCGATTTTCCAGCCGGAGCTGCGAAAGTGTACTTCGCCTACTACTTTCATACTTAAAAGTTGCGATTTTCCAGCTGGAGCTGCCGCGGACCAGGGGGGAATCGAACCCGCGACTGCGGGATTGCGAAAGCAGGTGCGCAAGCCACGAGACAACTTCCAAAGGCCATTTCGCCAGCAAGGAAATCGCACGGCGCCAAAGCGAGAGCGCTTCGCCACGCACAATCTCCGCGGAGGGTTCGCCGAGACTAAGACAAATTCGCACGACACCACAGCAAGAGCGCGTCGACACGCACGATCTCCGCAGAGGGTCGCGCGCACAGATCAGAAATCGTAAAATCCCCCTCGATTTTTTAACCTCGACCACGCGGATCTCCGCAGAGGGTCGCGCGGGCACCACAGAAATAGTAAAAAGTCCGCAGTTTTTTTACCTCGGCCACACGAATCTGATCAGAAACCGTGAAAAGTCCTCAGTGTTTTAACCTCGGCCACGCGGATCACCGCAGAGGGTCGCAATCTCGAGCGATGATCAACCTAAACTAACCACTTGTCTCTGTGCAACTTGGCTCTGTGCCACTTGGCTCTGTGCAACTTGGCTCTGTGCAAGTTGGCTTTATGTAACTCGGCTCTGTGCAACTTGGCTCTGTGTAACTTGTGCAAGGGCTCCGCACGGAAGAACCCTTCGCGATGCTTTCGGGAACTACGGAAAAAAGTTAATGCCCTTATTCTAACCTCTCTAATGGAGGACCTAGGCGAGCTCACTGATCCTGGGGGCAGCAAACGAGCGAGAGCTGTGATAAAACAAATCCTGCCTTTGGGGACCCAAGTCTTATTTTACCTTTTAGAACTGGAGTAACATGTGCCAGATCGGCACAGAACAGAGGCAAAGAAAAGGAGCAAACACACAATTTTGGTGGGGTTGCCCCGCATTCTGACACAGACACACACGCACTGTATGCGTATGAAATCTTGTTGTATAGAATATTTATGGCTATTTGGTTGGATCTTTGGACTTTATCTTTGTGGGAAACAGCGGGTTATCCATTGGACCCACGCAAAGTTCAACTTGTGGCAGGGGGTCAACAGCAACCAAGCTGTAAACAAAATACATAATATATATATATATATATATAGATGTATGTATTGTATACCTTTTAGTCGTTTTAAACATCACCCATCTAAGGTGTGTTCCCTTAAAATTGGTGATGATTTTAGAGGAAATGAAGGGAACCCTGCCGACTCTCCGATGGAAGTGGTTGATTGCCAGCGCGAGGAAGTCGCGTATGGTGAGGGCAGGGTCCAGGGTGGGGAGGCCTTGTTCCCTTCCAAGTATGTGCGTGTGTGTTTGGTGTGTGCGCGTGTGTGCTTTTGCGGGGTGGTCGGCGACCTTATGAAGCCTTCTGGGTATGGCCTTGGAAGGTTTGGCTCCCTCCTCACGAATGGGGACTTGGAAGGCATAGATGCCCTCAATGGTCAGTTTGGGAATGAAACTCGGTGGAACCAGGCCTGTTTCAGCCTGAGTTTCTCGGGCCAACCGACTTTTATGATATATCCATTTGGGACGGTGAAACATCACTGGAGAGAGATAGGAACTTCTTTCAGTTTGGCTCTCATGGTTCCAGCGTCTGCTTTCAACGAAAGCACTTCGGTTCAGAATGGCTTGGAGGTTTGGACCGCTGGAAAATCAAGTGGGTGCGCTTTTTGTCGGGGGGGGATTTCCAGTGGAAACGGCGTTGCGTTAAAGAACAACTACTTAGTAGAGATGGGAGCCGTGTGTTTGCAAGAGCTCTTGGAGTTCAACCTAGCAAGCCGCATAAATTTGGAATCACAACTTTGCAGCTGCCTCAATCCTTAAGTTCCTGCACTTTAAGTTTTTTTGTGAAGATCATTTAACTGGCAAACACAAGTTTGGACCTTTTTTGTCCAATCCACTCAGGAAGTGGGTTCCACGTTTCTCTGCACAGAAGAGCTCAAATTGGCAACCAAACAAATTGAGGTTCAACCTGTAGCAACTTTACCCGTTCCCCACTTCTTCCGTGGACAGTGGGGCCGAAGGATCGAGCGGTGGGAAGGAAAACTCGTTGTTTTTGTTTGGGGGGGGGTTGGGGGTTGTGTGCCTTGCGTTGTTCAGCTTGCAAAGGCCATGAATGCAGTCCGCAACGACGCCTTCCTTGGTCTTAATTCTGCGGGAGTCGCCTTCGGTTTTCATTTTTTTGGGGGCCAGACATGTGGCTGCCTCCTAGCGTTGACGAAGCGGCGTGTCAAACATCTTAGTATTAATGTTCATTGCCAGGCTTAGCATGCCTTTTTCACTTCTTGCCTGCCTAGTTGGTGTTCCTTGACCTTCCCTTTCAGGCAACCCCTGGTGGATGAAGAAGGTGGTCCCATAGAGGGACTCCTTCGCCTTTTTGGGAGCAAACCAGAACAAGTCCAAGAGTCTCGCCTGGCAACGCCAACAAAAACATCATGAGTTAGATCTTTGTTTGGCTGCGGGGATTGTTCGAAGTCAAAGAATTGCCTTGCTTTCCTCTTGAACTACTACTGAGGGGGTGACTTTGAATGGTGGTTCGGATTGGTTTGGGGATTTGAACCCCTGGTTCTTGTTGAAGGAATGGGAAGCCACCCGTGAATCACGAAACCGCCGGGCTCCAAAGCGCCAAGTAGGGTAGGGCTAGGGTGAACAAATGCAACAACGCCAGGCAGTGAGGGCTTTCAACGAGAAGAACTTTCAGATGATGGGCACCCGATACATCGAGCCGGGGTCTCAGCAAGGCCAACATGGACGATGCCCCCTTTTAAAAAGACCATGTGAGCCACGTGCTCAAAACCCGGGTAGATGAAGGTTGGCGAGGGACAGTCCCAACCAGAAATAGCTGCGGCCGCCTTCATAACTACTTGCATGGTTCTGGGTAGACCATTTTAGTTCCGGGTTTTGATTGCGACTCATGTGGTTTCCATGTCGGTGAGACGGCAGGCCTTTGGTTCTTACGACCGGAGGTCTCTTTGTTTCATGACCGTTCCGATTTCGAAAAGCTCAGACAAGCATTGCAATCACATGCAGAGTCTTCGACTCACCAACATGCAGGGACAAAGAGTACCGACTCAGCTTCCGAAAGAAGCCACAAAGATAATATACACTTCCATTTGCTTAACATTACGTTGCTTTTGAACTCTTGAAGTTGGAATCTATCACCAGGGTACATGTTTTCATTTTTTTCCAGGGGGCGATGGCCGAAAATGGAGGCTTCTTTATGTCTGCCCCGGAAATCCCGTGGCTTGCCTCAAGTTAGGCTGATGGGTGCCTCGGACAACGATGTGCAGACGTGAGCCCACGCCGGGGCGGGGCATCTAAACGTCGCGGGTGGTTCTGAAAACATGGGCTCGGTATTGTTGGGCTTCCCCGGCAAATATCGGGCAACATGGGGGTTTTCTGTTGGGTTTCCCCGTTACAATCACTAAAAAATGCCAAAAAACGGGGTACCCTGAAACAGAGACACACCAAAAAAGTGGAATCCGGGCCCCTATGCTCGGCTTCTTGGCATTCCCTTTAGCTATCAAAAGTGGGTCCGCAACATGAGAACGTCCCGTGCTTTTGAGGCAGGGCCGCATCAAAACAGGCCCAAAGCTTCAGGAAACCAACCAGGTTGCTCTTGCTTGTCCCATGTCCAGAGAGGAACACACAGGCGCCCAAAGCGAATCGATTGACCGGAGTATGACCCTTTGGTTCTCCCCTCTTGGTTCACCCAATTTTGGTCACCCCAAAGGGGAATACCTTGTATTTCCGGGTCCAAACTGGCCAACTGAGAACATCAATGAAACGCAACTTCTTTGGAAAAAGCAAACGCAGTCCTGACCCTGGAGTTCATCGACTTCTGGTGGTGAGGGCTACTGATCATACCCTTCAGCCACCCTCTAAGGGTATGCAGGGAACCTAAGGAATATATGATGAATAGAACAGAATATATACACATTGTAGCATGCAGTGGTCCCATCTAGGCATTTGTTTGTATATCTATCATTGCATCATTTGTTCTATATGTCTATGTTTCTTATCATTGTTGCTGTCTTTCAAGTGTTCTCTCTTTCTATAGTTCTACTCTATCTATCTATCTTGATTGCAATCTTTCGCTGCAAGAGGTGTATATATATATATATATATGTATGCAACACACACACACCACCACACATATATATATATATATATATATATATAAAATACACACGTTTTTGGTTTAAGGCACTCCAGGGCACATTCCCTGGATAGGTACCTGGTGGGCGGTGGCGCTGGAGCCAAGGGCGGCTACGGGCCCATGAAAGGCCGATTCGCAGCTTGCGTCGGGTTGGACGGATTGTGCCTTTTCCTTAGTTGGCTGGTTTTCAGGCTGACTTTTCGTTTGCCATTCTTCATCCTCAGGCCCAGAGAGCTTAATGTTTGCCAGCCAGACAACTCGGGGCAGTCCATTGCCCACTTCACACACACAAACAAACAAAACAGACAAACGAAGAAATAAGCAAGCACACACACACACACACCACACACACACACACACCCACACCCACACCCACACCCACATGCACACGCACACGCAAACGCACACGCACACGCACACGCACACCCACACCCACACCCACACCCACACGCACACGCACACGCACACGCACACGCAGACGCACGCGCACGCGCACGCGCACGAGCACGCGCACGCACGCAGGCGCACACACGCACGCAGGCGCACACACGCACGCACGCACGCACGCACGCACGCACGCACACACACGCACACACGCACACACGCCCACACGCGCACCCATGCAGGCAGGCGCGCACGCACACGCACACGCACACGCGCACGCGCACGCACACGCACACACACACTCACACAAACACACACACACACAAACACACACAGAGATACGCTGAGACATACGGGGACGCAGAGAGACACACAGAGACGCACACAGACACCCAGACATGCAGGCAGATAGACAGAGAGACAGGCAGACAGACAGACACTTCATGACGCTTGTGAAAAAAAGAGTCCCGGTTGCGTGTGTGTGTGTGTGTGACTGGCGGATCGGCAGGTGGCTGTGGTAAGGGGCCTTCGCCATATGACATGATGTGCCTGGGCAGCACGTTGCGTCAGCCACTGCCCTTGAAGCAACATCCAAGCATTATGGAGGGTATGCATATGTATGCATATGTCTTGCTACTGTACGTATGTGCATGTGTGTGTAAAATACAGTGTGCTCACTTACTCATTTATTAGATTAGTTGCTCATGTAATTGTTTTTGGGTGTGGGTCAAAAATACGTACCCCCCAAATGGAACCCTGGTGAATGGAAACATGGACTAAATTATGCTGTCCCCTGGTGGTTTACTTTTGACGCACACCCATTTTTTCCTGTTCGCATGGTTGCTTTGTTTGCTTGTTGGCTTGCTTGTTTGTTTTCGGTGTTTGTTTGCTTGTTTGTTGATTTTTTTTGGTTTGTTTGCTTGTTTTCTTGTCGGCGCTTTGTTGACTTGTAATCTTCGGATGCTTTGCAGGCGCATCGGGATTTTCAATGCGATTGATCAGCACTCTGAACCATGAGCTTGCGAACCTTGCTTGCTATGGGTATCACTGGAGCACTTGCCAGCCGAGGTCGTCCTTTTTTGGCTACTGAGACCCCGTATTGCATGCGCGCATTGGTCAAGCCTGGTCGAAATCGTCGCCCCCTTTTTGAGCCCTTGGGGCTTGGGTGGGCCTAGTGGCCTGCGTTGCGGGATCGCCCGATTTGCGCGGGCCTTGTACAAGCGATTCGCGCGCTGGGATTGCAATGGCTCGCTTGTCGTAAGGAGTTACGTGTCACCGCGGTTTAGGGACGCCTCCAGAGCTTTGTGACGCTCTTTTGGGCCATAGGGTCGGATTTTAGATGGCAGAACCCGAAGGAGACGTTGCGAAGCTGCCTTCGCATGCACGGGTGGCTTTTGCTGTTATTGCAAGGGCTGTATAGGGCCGCGCCCCTCACCGGAGCGAAGGAGAAAAGCCTCAAGAGTTGCTGAAGGCCCAGGTGAGGAGCGCGTGATCGCGCGGACGTGGTCAAGCCTAATGCGTGGAGAAAAGGGGAAATGCCCGGCTTAGGGGATCTAATGTTGACCACAGATTGATAAACCGGTTCCCCCCACTGAAAGGCAACACCCCCTATCAATCATCCAGGGGGTTTATTGATCCGGGATTCACACTAGCAAGTTTCCCTAAGGATCCATGATCAGATAGGCGTTGGTTTATCAGGACGGGAGTATGCAGATGGGGTGGGGGCAAGCTGCAAGCTCTGTGTACGGCCGGTAGCTACTTGACGGTTTTCGCGCTTGAAGCAAACGGCTCAAAGGGAATGGGCCATCCGTAGTTGGACGTCAGCCTCAGCACAGCTGTTCCAGATCAGCCCAAGGGATCAAAACCGAAGCTGTGCCAAAGCCAACATCTCAACATACCGTTTGCAACGACCCCATCAGGTTGCTCAAGGCTATGATGCGCCTTTGTTTCTCAACATGGGAATGGACCTGAAAGGGTACACTTCCTTTGCTTCAATGGGGTTCCAAGTTTAGTTCACAATGCCTATCTCCTGTGCTTGAACCGAAGGGCTGGTGAGAAGACTTCGCGCGTTTCTTTGGGCATGTCCGCGGCACGGTCGCGGTCTCGCTCGCGGCGACTTGTCGGGTTGGCTCGCCTTGGCGGGGTAAGGCTTGCTGTGCTTCAGACCCTGAGCCCAACCCAAGCGACACCAACAAGACTTGCTGGTGCTCAGTAGGGGTGAGGGAATGAACCTGGAGATTCCCTTAAAGGAAACCATCAGGGATGGTTTTTCTCGGGGTCAATCCATTTCTCATTCCCCACTGACAAGAGTTTGCTCTAAGGTGGCCCACCGCCACCTGGACATGGGGCATGTAATCGCTACTTCGCCTAGGGGAGGTGAAGGGTATATGTTCCAGTGGAGCTGGGCTTTCAAGACGGACGCTCCTTGTTTTACAGCTCCTTCAGCAAATCGGAATGCGGTTCAGGGACCCTGCGGCGGTTCTCCAAGACTTGCAAGTGCCCTTTTTTTTACCTCGCCCTCTCGAAGAAAAAAAAAAAAAAAAAAAAAAAAAAAAAAACGCCACAACTCCAATCATTACACTTGGGTTTTGGGCGGCATCTTTTGGGTGATGTGTGTGTCTCTGTGTTTCTGTGTGTTTGTGTGTCAGCGTCTCGGCGTCTCTGCGTGTCTCGTTGTCGCCGTTTTGTTTTTTGTGTCTGTGTGTTTGTGCGTTTGCGTGTCTGTGTGTCTGTGTGTCTGTGTGTCTGTGTGTCTGTGTGTCTGTGTGTCTGTGTGTCTGTGTGTCTGTGTGTCTGTGTGTCTGTGTTTCTGTGTGTCTGTGTGTCTGTGTTTCTGTGTTTGTGTGTTTGTGTGTTTGTGTGTGTGTGTGCGACTGCTTCAACGGATTGTCCAACGTGGAACTGCCAGCGCCGAGCGGCCCAACTCAGGTCGCGCAGCCGGAAGAAGTCAGTGCATCTTGTCCGAGCGAGATGTTTGGACGGCAAGAATGGGGCGGGGTGAAGCCCTAAACCCCAAGTCAGAACCATACCAGCCGCCGGGTTTTAACCACTGCTTCCCATGTCCAAAAATCCCAAGCGCTGTCCAAAAGCGGTTGAGACGGTGCCGGGCCCCTTTTTAGGTTAGCAATACATGGGGCCCACTGGTTTAGATGGAATGCCCCATCTACCAGGGCCATCTATTTTATCAAAAGGGTACCTGTGGTCATAGCTTTTGTTGACCACTAGTGATGTTTGTGGGTTACCAGCTGGAACCTAAAGTTGCCACGTGCAGTTGTAACAGAACTGGTTTTTGTTTGGTTACCCCCTGGATTGGAGCAACTTTGGCCGGGCTGGGCTGTTCAAACGCAATGGAAGTGGCTTCCCAAGGGGTCAGCGAAGCCTCCATCCTGGACATCTCCCGAAACGGGTGGTGCGTTTTAAGGGTGCCCTTTTTGGGTGGGTTCTGCGGGGGAACCAAAGGACAACCACCAGTTTTGGGGGGAACCCGACAAAAATGGCGCTCAAATGGAATTGGGGAGGGGGCCACCAAATTCCGAGTTGAAGGTCCTATTTCAGTTCCATTTTCCCTCGGAAGGATTTGGCAGATGGAGTTGCAAGCTTCTTTCATGGGGAGTGCCGTAGGTGTGTGTGTCCTGTTTGGTTGTTTTGGCAGAAGCATAAATGGCCCTGGTTTATTTGGTTGAATCATCTACCAGGGCCATCTATTTCCTTAAAAAGGACACCTATGCAAAGTGCCGCTATGCAGGTAGCCTCCCCAAGCCTTTCCGGAGTGCTGGCATGGGATGCCTTTCTTGGGGCAAAGTCCGAGTCCGGCGGAGACGTGGAAGCATAGGTGTCCTTTTTGGGTGATTTGGTTTGAAAATAGAGGGCCCTGGTTTACGTGGTGGTTCAATCAACTACCAGGGAAATCCAGCTATTTTCCCAAAAGGGACACCTATGCATGGAAGGTTTCCCACTTGTCCTCGATATTCACATGACGACCCGAATCAATGAGCATGTGCGCAAACGCGGCTGGTGCGAAATGGCCCAGTTTTGTGGTTGCCCTGGCTTTTGGTTCCTAGGCCGTTGGAGCGGGTCGGTGTCCACACGGTACTCTCAGCAATAGTTACACGCATGTTTCTGTTTGGCAAGGCTGACCTTTGATTAAGCTGGAGAGGAAGTACAGTATGCATTGCGACAGGGGTCAGTTGATTGTCCTTTGAGAAAATCTTGTCAGCCAGGTTGCCAACCAGGGAGCGAGGCCGAAACCATGGAAAGCACGTTGGCGTAACACAGAATCAAATGCGAGCATTGCGGGGAAGGGGACAGACCCAACAATGAGCTGTCCATAGCAATTCGTGTATTTGTTTTCGCTTCTCAACTTGGAAGGAGGACTCCCCACCATTCACACCCTCCAGTTCTAGAAAACAGTTCGGAGGTGGCTTTTGTGGATCCCCTGTCGAATGTTAAAAGGGTACTAAAAGATCGCACGGAAAAAAAAGGACCAACGGAGGCAAGAACTGTTGCGAAATCTGCAAGAGGGGCGGCACCCAAAGCGTTTCTGACTTCGTGAGTTTCTGGACTTTAAATCAACTGTTTGGGTTTGGACCATTGTGGTAAAAACCAAGTTTGGGGAGAGCTTTTTGGGGCCACTTACTCAAGCGAGATTTTCTCGCCCAGCGCCTGGCCGAGGTCCGGCGTCGCCCGCAGCGCCGGCCGCGAGACCCGGGAGGGCCGCGAGGGCCGGGAGGGCCGGGAGGGCCGAGACCGGCGGCGGCGGCGCCGGGACACGCGGGAGGGCCGCGAGCGGCGCAAGAGGCGGAGCCGAGGAGGCGGAGGGGGCGAAGGGGTGGGGTCAGAGAAACCAAGAAGCAGGGATTGCGGGGGGAAGCAACAACATGTGGGCCTTTTTGGTTTGGTTGTTTTCCGGTCAATACTTTGGCATGGCTTTTTTTGTTTTACAGGGAATCCTCAGACATCTCCGCTTCCCACATAATGGGCCTCTTGGCGAGTGCAGGGATAGAACAGGGTCGGTTGCCACCCTTGCTCACACATCTGCTGGGTGCTTTTGCTTTGTTGGCTGTCAGGCATTGCGTCGGTATTCCTCATCCCGTTTCTTCCGAGCCTGCGCCGTTTCTCCGGGTGTGTTTGTCTCTGTCAAGGGCACCCTTTGTTTTTGGCCAAGGGGAGTACGCGTGCACTTGTTGTTGCCGTTTTGGGGCCTGATCCCCCCGCAAGAAGCCAGCTGCGCCCAATAAGCCGGCCCCGTGCGAACTTGAGTGAGTGTCAAGGGGAGCCAAAAGGAAAATCGCAGCCTTTGGCGTAATGATCTCCACGGCCGTAGGGGCTCAAGGATAGCCCTGCCAATCGGCCCCATGGCTGGTGTGGAACAGGGCTGCTCGGATGGGCTGGCCCCAGGTTTTTGGGGCTCAGCTCATGTCAGGTACTCTTGACTTGGTGGCTTGGATTGGCTGGATTGAACCCCTGGTGCTTGTAAAGGGTGAACGCTTTCTAACCTCCAAACCACAAATCAGAAACTCCAATTTGAGGGGGGCTCAGCATGTTATTTTCTTGTTTTATGCCAGTTTCACCAAAAGAGCAAACTCGCCGTGATGTAGGTGCTTCACTTGCGCATTCCTTATTTCGGCTACAATCAGGTGTGCAGAGGTTCTTCCCGGTGTTGGTTGCACATTGCAGATGGGGCCTCTAGAACGAAACGAGCTTCCTGAAGGAGGGGCATGCTCAAAATAGGACAGATGGACACAAATTCAACGGGCATGCAAGTACTCCTGCGGGTGAACTCTGTGCGTGTACGGCTGTGTGTGGGAGACCGTTTGTCAGTTTGTCTCTTTGTTTGTGTGTTTATCTATTTATGTTCCGTGCTTCCTTTCTGTCCTTCTTCTCTTTTTCTTTCTTTCTTTCTTTCTTTCTTTTTTTTTCTGTTTGTCTGTCTGTCTGTCTGTCTTTCTTTCTTTCAGGCCCTAGTTGTACGTAGACCCAGCCGCCAAACACTTCTTTGAACACGCCGGCAGCAGCGGAGAGGCTTTCAATTCATCCAATCAGTCACTCACTCACTCAGTCAGCCAATCAGTCAGTCAGCCAGTCAGTCAGTCAGTCAGTCAGTCAATCAGTTAGTCAATCGATCCATCAAATGCTTTTGTTTGTGTGTTAGAGTGTTTGTTTGATTGATGGGTTGGTTGGTTGGTTGGTTGGTTGATTGATTGATTGATTGATTGACTGACTGATTGATTCATTGTTTGTTTGGTTCATTAATTGATTGATTGATTGATTGATTGATTGATTGATTGATTGATTGATTGATTGATTGATTGATTGATTGATTGATTGATTTGATTGATTGATTGATTGATTGATTGATTGATTGATTGATTGATTGACTGACTGACTGACTGACTGACTGATTGATTGATTGATTGATTGTATTTGTTGGTTGTTGTTTGATTGGTGTGTTTGTTCGTTTGTGTGCGTTTGTGTGCGTTTGTGTGCGTTTGTGTTTGGATGTGATTGTGCTTGCGTGTGCCTGTGTTTGCGGTTGATAGTGTGTTTGTGCTTGTGTTGGTGTGTTGGTGTTTCTGTTTTCTGCTTTTGTGTGCTTGTGCCACTGTGCGTGTGTGTGTGTGTGTGTGTGTGTGTCTTACAAGCGCTTGTGCTTGTGCGTGCGCTTGCGTGTCTAAGTATGTGCATATGTGCTTGTCACGTCTCGGGGTCTGTCTGGCACGGTTTTCGCTAGAGCGAAACCAGGGGCCAAGCTCACAGTTTCCGAGGTTCCGAGGATGGGCCCGGTTCCCGGCGCAGCGACATGGCGAGCGCCGTGTTCCGTTTTCGGAACACGCTGCAGATGTCTTTGGACTGCTAGGTGAAGTGTTTTTTGCCCTGACAGCGGGGGCGGGAAGTTGATTGACCTGAGCGGCGCTCCAGATCTCCCTTCCAAAGAGCGAAGACGCCCCCCGACAAAACACACCCAACACGGGCTACAGTTTTTGGGGTCAACAAGGTGAAACCCTTCACTTCTCCCAAACGCTTGCGTTTTGTCCATCACGAGGCTCCTTCAGCCTTGCGAGCCGGTCACCGGCGCTTGCCTTCCTAGCGGGTGGGGGCCCTGTGACCGGGGCCCGGGGCCTGGGGCGATGTGAACTCGGTGTCGCCGCCAAAAACAAAAAAACGGTTTTTAGGTTTTAGGGGAGGCGGGAGTTATCGGGGAGGCGGGAGGCGAAGTACGAAACAGAACCACAGATGTGACCCGAGATTGGGGCCCTTTGAGGTTTAGGCGCACCCTTGACAAAGAAGTTGACAGCGAAAGTCAGCATGGATGGGTTCAAAGGGAGGCCACTGGTTCCATGCACCAAAGGACAATCATGTGTGTAGCATCATGAAATTTGTTTTCTGGAACCGATTGAGCCCCATTTAAGGTCACCCAAGTCTAGCCACACACCTATTTCAGACAGATACAGCTCTCCAGTTCTGTCTGCAGTCGGTGTCGTTGGGCCGATTAAGTCGTCGGCAAACGGTCCATTTCGGTAGCAGAACGCCAGGTGAATCAGAGATTTTGTCTGCCACGGGTTGTTTTGCCAGCCGTCTAGGTAGAGTTCAGACTGGGGCAGTTACTCCCCCAGTTATTCCTCACCGTTTGCCCACGTTGTCACATTACCACGGAACTCACCAACAGATGCCTTCAGAGAAGAACGGTCTCGCCCCCCCCGCAGGAGCTTCCTGAAATGTTGACCCTTGATAAATATACCATTGCGGCCGCGATAGGCGACTGCGCCGGATGTCACGCTTTCCCGTCGTAAATATACCCCCAGATCAGGGAATTCCTTCAAAAGAGGGAGACGTTACTAGATAGGTACCCGTGCGGCATCCTTGGGAGATGCCTGGTGTTGAGCTCCCTGCAAACCAAAGTCGCATTGTGTTGAAGGTAAAGGGTTTCTATTTTGGGTCCTTCCAGAAGGAAGCTTCCCTTTAAAATTAAGTGCCGAAACAAAGGTGCGCTTGTTTTCCTGTGGCAGCTGGAGATCTGATCTCTCCCAGAAGATCCATTTGCTTGAAAGTATTGTTTATTTCACATCGTTGGTGATAAAGGGAATGCATCACTACTGAAATATGGTTTTCCAGGGGGCTTAAGCAAATGGAAGCAAAAGCACTGAAAAGACAAAGCCCTGGTGAAACCATGGCGCCCAGCCGCTCGGTTTTTGTCCGCAGGAAGCCCCGATGGTTGCGAAGCATCTCGGCAGTGGTGATTTGGTTGCCAAGCTGAAGCTAACATGGGTATAGGCCCAAGTAGGGGTACCCCGAAAAAGTAGCGGGTGATTCTCTTAGAGCCAGTTTCAGCCAAAATGAACAGGGTACCTCAAAAGACACCCAAACGTTTGCCATTTTGCAGTTCCTGCGTTTTCCCCTTTTTTAGCCAGGACGCCTCAATCTGACCAAGGTTTGTCGACGTCACGTGGGGTACCTCCCCCCAAAGATGAAGCCAGGTACTTTGAAAGATGGCCATATCATCTTGCTGTTTCGATAGGCAGGGACTGAGAAATGGGGTAGCCCCCGCAACCATCCAACTTTTGGTTTTGGGGAAAAGTCCATCCAAAGCCGGTTCATTCACACCCGGACTCGAAGGGTCGTTCCGACTGAGCACCAGCAAGTCATTTCTATTGCATCGGATCCGCTGATCCGCTGGGCTTGCAGCCGATGGTAGGCCTTTAAGCCTTCAGCTTGCCACCTTGGAACACTTCCCCGTGCTCAGCAAACTCTTCATCGCTATTTGGCTGTGGGTCAAAACCAATGGGATCCCATTTTGGGGTAGGTGCACCAACCATTTTAGCCTATTTTAGTGGGGATTGAGATGTTCACTGGGGGTACGGGCTTTTGACCCATGGCCATTTGGCAGCGGATCTTTGGACTTGAGCTGTTTGGTTGAAACAGGTCGGATTTTCCATTGGACCCACAAGTTGTTTCCACTTTCTTGCAGGGAGGTCAACGGCGACCAAGGTGTATGTTCGGTCATGTTCCCACAGCAAAAGGGATGGTTTTTGTTTTTGGTTTAGTGTCTTTTGTTCGAGACCCCCTCTTGAAAAGACCAAGTTTACTCATGAGTCTATCAGGCTAACCTGCTTGGTTTCCGAGGATCCTCGCTAGTGAGACGGATGTCTGACTTCGATATCGCCCCTGACAAGCTTGACTGGCAGCGAATCCGACTGCGGGAAGAGCGACCCTGGGACGAAATCAGAAGGGCTCGGCACTTGTTCCCTGGTCCACTTTTAAGGTGATCCAAAAGGATGGTGGTCAAGCAACAGTGGTTGAATGATGCTTGAATAAGTGGGCCCACCCCTGGAAGTTCATAGACCTTGTAATTCAAAACGCGAAACAAAAGAGGATCTGTCGTGAAACCCAGTTTTCCAGACATACGGCCTGCAACACCGGGTTTGATTTGCAAACCAGGTTGTGTATTTCAGAACCCCGTACAAAGCCCGTAATTAACCCGTACGAACCAGTAATCTAAAGTCACAGTGTGCGAAACCAGGTTTTCAAGGTCCCCCAGCAGTGCCCTTTTACATTTTTTGGGGGGTTCCCCTACTAAAATAAACTACAGAAAAAAAGAAAGAAACAACAAACGGGTACCCTTATTCTGACCTCTCTACTGGAGGACATAGTTTTGGATTCCAAAACCAGCACATTTGCCACCTCCCTTTTCCGGGCTTTCGATGTAGAAGGGAGGTTTCTGAATGTCAAGCAGCCTCCGGCTTGCGATCCAAGGACGGGTGGAAGCCAACATCAAGCAGATCCTGGCAAAAAGGCGCGGGCGGATGACTTGTGACATGTAGAGTTTAACTTCCTGGTGGGTATGGGTCAAACATGAAAAACCACCAGGATATGGACAGCAGCTAGGGTGGACTTAGGATACATTTTATATTTTACCAGTGACTCAAAGTAAATCAAACAATAGAATATGCATTCTAAAACTGGAACCAACTCTAATTAGTCATGGCAGGTTTTAGTTTTATGTTCGACCCACAGCCTGGCGATGCCGCTGGGGCTAAAGTCTCAAAAGGCTTCAAATGAAGGGTCCCGAGTTGGCCGGGTTCGACGCTTAGGACCACGGTGCCTATGTGGGTGGACTCCCTGCGATCGACAGTCAGGAGGAGGTTCGAAGCCGAAGTTGAGTTGGCCATGGGTTGCATAACCTATGGCGATCCCATTTTGGGGTGGATGAACATCCATTTGCCACCTATTTTAATATTCACCAGGGGCACGGGGTTTTGACCCACAGCCAGTTGTTTTCACTGGGGCCCTAAAGTGAACATGTTGAGGGGTTCTCAAGAGTACTTGTTGGGGGTGGTGTCCCGAAGGACGGGATTTGTGGGGGGATGCACGGGGTACCTTCCCAGGGAAATCGTAAAGGCAGAGATTCATCTTCCTGGCGTGGGCTTTAGACACATCTTAAAGCCGATTTGGAATTGAGCTTCCGCTCAGTGTGATGTTTGAAGGGGGGGTCCTTGAGAATCCAGGTTCTTCCATTTGCTTACGATTTGTTTTCCCTTGTTGATTTTACAGGGAACTTATCACTGTTGGAAAAAAGTCTATTTTTCCAAGGGGTGAAGAATCAAATAGAGGTTTGTACGATTCAATGGAATCCCTTCAAGACATCCCAGCTGTGGTGGGTTTTGCTGAGTTTCAGGCGCAAGAGGTCCAATGCGCGGCACATGGCGGTGATCAGGCGTGGTTCATGTGCCGTGGCGTTCTTTTCCTTTCTCAGTGTGTTATAACGGTTGGCTTAGATGTTTGTGGGTTGAAGTCTATAAGGTTAGGGAGTTTTGGGGCTATGGTTTTAGAATCATGTATAGTTCTTGCGCGCTTTTCTCTGTCCCTTTTTCCTTCCTGAGTGACAGCTTCGTGAAGTCCTGGGTTTCGGAACTTCCCCTATTTCTCCTGAAGATGATGTTCGGGGGTTTGTTTGAGAACTGCTTGGGCTTGGTGTTTGGGGATGGGCTTTTTGGGGAACCATATGTCGTGGCTGGCTTTGAGTCTTAAGTATTGATCAGATTCACCAAGGCGGTCCAACAACGACCGATCTGGAGAAGTCACAGAACCCACAGGATAACCCTAGGTGAAAGAATGGGCAGACCCTTGAGGTGAAAGGCCAGGCCCCTTTTCGTTTGCGGAACTTGCTCAGAGACACAGGGCTGAGGCTGCTGCATTACACCTGGCTTCAATGGTTTGGCTGAGCTTTTAGACACACGCTTTGGTTTGCTTTTTCGACTCAGGTCATCTTCGGGGCCCAACAAAAAGGAGGAACCGAGTTCTGTTGCTGCTTTACCAAGAGTTGGGAAGTGTGAGCTCTGCTCCTTCCAATCGGCTGGAAGGTCGTGCCTCTCTGGATATGCGAAATTGCGATTTGTCACGGGTTTGCGACTGACATTTTCACCTATGATGATTTGGTTCTGATCTTGAAGGGGGGGGGGGGCGGGAGGGGCGCCTCATTCAGGCCATACAGGGGTCTTTGGTTGGTTTCCTTTGGGTTTGAGGCAGCCACCTCAAAAGGGGTCCGAAATCCTTTTCACGAGGGCTGGGCCCACCCCCGTTTGCCTCACAGGGTCCGGGATTTGCCGACCCTCCATGGCAACCTCATGCAGGATCAGACGGCGTGGGGGGTCTCCAAGAGCAAACAAAGGAGTGCAAGGACGAGCACTTTGGGGATTCCTCCAGCGCTGCAACTTGGACTTTCCATTCCGGATGGAACATGCTGATCAAGGGGGCTTGGGTTTCCAATGCTTGTCTTGTCTTGGCTTGGCTTGGCAAGCCATTGTCAGGAGCACTGGCCCGCGAGCCCTGGAGCACCACGAAAGCCCTTCGTGAGGAGTGTGATCCAGACTCCTGAAGGACCATGGAAGCGGCAGTAGACAGCCCCAAGCTTTCGAAGGCGGACGGTATGAACAGACATTTATGCCCATAGGTGGTCCTTTTTGGTTGGTTTTGGTCGGAAAATAGAGGGCGATTCCTGGTTTGCCTGGTGGTTTAATCATCTACCAGGGCCATCTATTTCCCTCAAAAGGACGCCTATGTTTATGCCTCTAAGTGGCCATTTCGGACCCCTTGGTGGCTGGCTGGCTTTTCATAATTGAGCCATGTTAATGTCTGGGTGAATGCTCACAGGCACTCATGTTCATACATTTCGCCTTCGAACGCTAGAGATCTTGGGCTGGTCTTGGCGGCAGCTCTACTCAGTGACGCTGAAAGCCACTGATTCGAAGTGGTTTGTGCTCCTGAATGTTTCGGCGGTGAGTTTGTTCTTTGGGAAGGGGTGGGCAAGAGCTCACATGGCCATGGGTCAAAGCCAATGGTACCATTTTGGGGTAGGCGCACCACCCATTTTAGTCTCTTGTGGATATTGGGATGTTCACCGGCGGGGGTACGATTTGGATTTTGACCCATGGCCACATGGCAGTCGAACCCAGCAGGTTTTTCTGTCAAGGTGTCTTGTAGGCCTTTCTCATTGCCGAACCGCGCGTGGCAGGACCTACCACGCCAACCAAAGTCAGTTCGCCACCGAGCAAAGTCAACTCTTGTGAAGGCCTGTGTGCAACGCCAGCTATTGGGATGTTTTGTTCAAAGGGCTTGAGATTGACATGGGGGTTGATCCAATGTCCTTATACATGGGGTGACCAGCAGGGAATCCGCCCAAAAAAAGATGATATTCCCCTCTTAATGGGAAAACATACCCATGGTCATTTGGTGGCCGAATAGAAAAACTATCGATCAACCCCCACATCAGTAAATGGAGCCTTTTTGGACACTCGCTCCGGTTGTCGGCGGGGAAGTCGTCCTTGGGGCTTTCTTCGCACTGAAAGTGAATTCGCAAGGCGCAGCCTTGCTTGTCCAACGGATTTGTGTAAGTCACCCCATGTCCCCCGTTTCCAAGTCCAAATGAATCATCATGAAACCCAACAAGGGGTAAAGCGGGATGCCTCTCAGAATCATGCTTGTTGGGGTTTCAATAACTTGGTGGCTCCCAGCCATCCCCTTAGCTTTTTAGCCTTTTAGTGTTTAGTGGTAGTTTCCATTTAACCCACTAAAAAACAATCTTTTAGCGGGGGATCTGAGGGCAGCCCAGATAAGAAACCCTGTTAATGATAGGCATTGACGAGCTTGAGCACCTGCTTACAGCAGGAAAGCCAAATGGGAAGCCGCCGCCCCATACCTGACAGCTGACTTGGGGCTTCTCCACCTGTCTTTACACCAGTATACAATTAGACACATGTGGCCATGGGTCAAAATCCCGCACCCCCGCCAGTGAACATCCCAATCCCCACTAAAATAGACTAAAATGGGTTGTGCACCTACCCTAAGATGGTACCATTGGTTTTGACCCACAGCCCTTTTTATAAATATATATATATATACATATTCATCGATACATATACATATATTCATGCATGCATACGGTCCCTGTCCACGTATTTTGCAACCTGCCTTACTTCCCAAGAGCCGACTGGTTTTTACAAACCACAAAGCAGAGAATACTGTCGAAAACCTCTAAAGCATAGCCTTAAAACCTCTACACGAGCTTTGTTTTTTCCCCACTTGCCCAAAGCAGACCTTTTTTCCCACCTTTTGGTTTCCCTTGCTTGGTACCCCCATTTCTTGTCCACTGGCGTTACGCCTCGGCCAGTCCAGTGGCTCCTTTTTTGTCACCCCAAACGGTGATCGCCTTTTGATTTCTGGGTCCTTTGGCGGGTCAGATTTTAGAGACGTTGCGAAGCTGCCTTCGCATGCGCGGGGTGGCTTTTGCTGTTGTTGCAAGGGCTGTCTGCTTGTCACAAAGGCAAACGAAAACGCCTGCACCCGGTCCGGTGGCTTCTTTTCAGTCACCCCAACAGTTTGTGTGACGTTTTTGTGTCTGGGTCCCAAAGGGGGGACTGTGAGCTTTGGCCCCCGTCGCCAGAAAACCGGCGGGGGCACCGGGTGGGGCCGGTGCGCAGGCCACGCGGGCACCTGGCCGGGCGCGGCGAAGCCCAGCACCGCGCGGACTCCGCGCCCCGGAGGCGGAGAGTGGGCGGGCGGGTTCGGGCGGGCGGGTGGGTGGTATCTGGGGGTTGGTCAGGTGATGGCCCCGGATTAAGACACCCTATTTACAGGGGGGGGGAGGTTTTATTAACAGGGGGGGGTTCAGGTTTGAGTGGGGGGACACCCCAGGTGATTAACAGGGTGTTGTATTAACAGATATTAACAGGGGGGGGTTCAGGTTTTAGCCAGGTTATTGGGGGGTTTTATTAACAGTTGTTTTTCTTCTGGTTGTAGTGGGGTTGAGATCACTTTGGAGGGGCCAAACCCACCACCAGAATAATAAACTGGGGTTGATTAATAATTAATATGGGGTCAAAAGAGATGTTGACCCCTCACTAATTGACCCCTGCTGATTCATATTGGGGTGGTTTTGGTCCCTCCAACAGTGGTTTGAATCCCCACTAAAGCAAGGGACACCCCATATTAGTCATGAATTCGGGTCAACGTTAAGCTTCCCAATATTCGCCTAGCAACCCCCCTTCCCATTTCTATAAGAATGAGGACCTGACAAGGCCTATGTATTAGCCTGAATTGGTGGCTATGGTCGGTGGTTTGGATTCGGATTCCCCCCCCCCCCGGTTCTTGTACAGGAAAATGCGAAACTACCC